GGTTCGAGATTCTAAACTCCTAGCTAAGGAATCCTGGTATCCGATTCGGCAGGTGATTTGAATTTTGAAATTTCCAACACATAGTTTACAGTATGGTTTCAGGAAACCAGGAACAAAGTTTGGCGAACTCAGACCATTTATATTAGTTGTGCCTTGTGATAAAATTATGTGAGAAGGTTTGATGATGGAGGTGAGATATTTGGTAAGAAGTAAAGAAAGGATTTGATAACGAAAAATTCCGTCGCATGTGCCTGTACGAGTATGAGTACGGAGGTCTCCTCGTTGCTGCCCACACCGTGGAAGGGTATTTCCTAAGGAGCCCTGGAAGGAGGTTAGACACGATAGACTCGATAGCCACAATCTTCAAAAGGATATACACCCGTAAACAGGGAGCTGTGTGGTATGGGCGAAGTATGACGTTGTTACAGTCAACCTATTTCCTTGTGATAAGGTAGAATTACCGCAGGTGCTGGTTGCACGAAGGAAACACAGTACCGCTCTTACACCCCTCTACAGTAATCAGTAAGACTACGCTCTAAGATCTTCAGTTGCTGCTTTCAGACTTAGTGTTCTCTTATAGACCGGCCTGATATGGTCAGACATAAAAGTACATATATTCCAGGTAGTAGAGCTTGGTTCAGTCATCAGGATACACAAGCCTGACAACAACGTCACGTTAGTATTGACGGTCGGTATGTTTTATTCCAGATACAAACAAGTAATGTGCAGTAATGTATATTTCGTACTCTAATAGACACTTATTCACCAGCAATGAATTCTGGTGTAAATCTGAGTGTGCAACCAACTGTATTAGAAGTCGAATCACGAGCGGAATAAACAACAGAAATGTAGTATTCCAGTAAAGATACCACATAAAAATAAAAGTCTTGACTTAATTCTATGATAACATTAGGCATATGTGCACAGGTCACTTATTTGTTGATAATGCACAGTCCTATGATAAATTCTCATCTACGGGCGTAAAGTGACTGGAAAATTTATACGTAGAGAATTTCATGAAGTCGCACTCACGTGCAACATGCTCAAATACCACTTGCAATGCACAGGCGTGTACTCAAATCTGTGAACCATGGCTTCACCTTAGAATGTCGAAGATTCTCACTATCCATCGAAATTATGTCCAACCTGATGATGACTGAAATATTTTCACTGAATTTCAATATGTTGACAGTCAACCTGATTCATGGAAAAACAGTGTTTCGTCTCTATCTTTCTCTCACACATTATGCTTCAAATGCTGACGGGTCGAAGTATACATTATTACAAATGACTGGTCAGTGATATCCACATTTGTATTGAAATATTGTGATTGTATGTAAGCGCACCAACTGCTTCCATATTATTCGGATGAAGTGCGAGTAATCTACGCCATCTCAAATTCATAATACCTACCTCAATGAGATAAAATCATTTCTCCAATTCAATGAGTTTACTTACACAATGAGGTTATGGTGACTGACATATTTTAACATTCAATGTGAACGTCACATTTATGGTTGAAATACAGGACAACGCATCAATTTCAATCGGTATTTAAACTTGCCAATTCACTGATTTGGCCACATTTCTCTAATACAACCAACTACAGTAGAAATCAATCGGAACACAAGTCCACAATATTATGACAGATGACAGTTTCATGTCAGCAAATCAATAGAGACATTCAGGGCTACTCCGACACATTCATTCGTGTTTCCACTTCACCTGCAAGTTCTCCTATATAATTATGCACATAGGACGTTGAATAGTGATCATAGCTGTTCCCCAACAATGAATGCAATCAAGGTCGGAAACCATTGAATCCAATAACACTGTTTGTAAAATATAGGTTCTACTCATCTGCCTGTGTTTGTACACGATACTACAGGAGATCGAAGCTGACACAACCGGTAGATCATGATGTTTGAATTCAGACTATTTCGTTCATTGTAGTTAGTGCTAAGGCACCAGTAGCCGACAAGTCAGCGAAGATTTCCAAACCGACTAGGAAGTATCCGAGACCAGGTATTGTTCATATGATTCATTCAATCACATATTTCATTTGCACATTTCGATTGTATCGTTTTCACTCATGTGACCAGAGTGTTGGTTTCATGTATGCTCATCGAAATATTCCATTATTGCATTTGTGATGTTGTAAATTATTATTATTGATTTGCATTCAGGGAGGTCATTAGAAAAGAATAAGAAGAAATCGTCGACCGAGCTACCAGATGGAGCAGTCAGAGTTGAGCAGCCGAAACCAGAAGAGAGTGGAATCATACTGGACCTGATTGCAGCAATGCTTTAGCAAGTAGGATGAGAGGACACTTGATATATTAGCTCCAGTTGTCAACAAATATACGTTCCATTGTAACAAATAGAATTTTCAATACTTATTCAAAATACTCTTCCTGAATTTACCGAGTGAACGAGAAGTGTGATTTGTTTGTAATGTGACTGTGATTTTGAATTGTCTGTGTCAATTAGCAGGCAATGTATTTCACCTAGTTGGCCGAACACGAAACACTGCTCATTACTGTGTTATTGAACATTTGCACTTTACTCAGTATGTCGAATATATACAGGTTTACGTCTGCACTTCCAGTCCACTGTTTACATTGTTTACTCAAACTTCAGTGAACAGTCCTGACTTAGATTGTCAGTGTACTGTTCATTCATTCAGAGAAGCCTTCACGAACTGGACAATATCTACTTCATCACATTTATTGTCAATTTGCACACAATCCAGTCTCGACAAAGTACCCATCCAGAAGCATTGTCCAGTTAACCTGATTGTTTCGACACACATACGCAGTCAACAGTAATCAGAATTTCCAAGTTGAGAGTCCAGAACATGTAGAACATTGCTGGAATACGAACAATAATGAATCACTCGGAAAGAGCACGTGGCGAGTATTCGTTTTCCCTAGTTATAAGCGAACGCATGATGTATGTTGTTATGCTCGTCAATCGATATGCTTGAAACTATTACCAGTTCACCTTGGTCGGTAGACTTTCTCTAATGAATCTTTACTGAACATTACTGATTTAGATTTTCAGTTTGCCTTTCATTTCCCTGGTTCATATTTAAAAATTCTAATCGGTACATAATTCGATAATAGATCAATTTTTAAATTTCTGTGTGCATGATATTTTCCTTGTGTCTCTTGTGAATTATTCACATTACGTAGTTCACATATATACACTTTATGATAGATTGATATGAATCTTCAATCTCACTCTTTTTCTTAAAATTTTTGCCTGAGATTCGACCTTTGTTTTTGATTCGATATTGAGATCGTTTCTGTCGTTTCACTCAACTCAGTTTTTTCTTTGTAATTTGCGGTAAATAATTCAAGTGTAATAGCGGCTGTTTCTGTATCGCGTTTTAAAATATAGCTTTTATGTTTACGATGTCGCTCTTAGTTATATCTCAATCAAGCTCTCTCAGAACTTCAAACCATAGGTTATACGTATAGAATTTTTTCTTGTAAAGCGGAAGTGAAGAAGTAATATTTGAACTCATTCAAGCTGAAATTATAAGTCCATGGAGAAGAAACTGTTATGCACCACTTGTCTAAAAAGTAAAAATCTAAAAGGTTATACAAATAATTTCTATATCTAGATTCTTCTGATCCTATGACTACACTACTGAAATTTCTTAAAGTAACGTCGAAAGACAGTGTAAAATATGTGAACACATACTTACCAGAGTGGTGAACGAAAACTTGACACTTTTTAGGGCATACTACTGGATATTACACGAAGTACAGCAACCGTTTGTTCTATATACCCTATATATATATATATATATATATATATATATATATATATATATATATATATATATGGGAGAGATGACTTACTTGAACGGTTCATTCAGAGAAGCCTTCATGAACTCGACAGTAGCCCATTTGTCACATTTATTGTCATGTTGCACAAAATCGAGACTTGTCACATTACCCATCCAGAAGGATTGTGCAGTTAACTTGATTGTTTCGAAGCATACACAGTCAGAAGTAATCGACATTTCCAAGTTGAGATTTCTGAACATGATGAAAATAGCTGGAATACTAATAATACTGAATTATTCGAAATGAGCACTTTGAGAGTATTCGTTTTCCCTAGTTATAAGCGAACACATGATGTATATTAACTCGTCTTTCTTGTTTTCATGCATTAGCATTTTAGGGAGAAACTTCATAAAAATGCCAGTTCATACATTCTCTATTTTTGCAAGAACAATTTTTAATCTTAACAAACATATTATGTTAAATTTCGGTAGGTGTTTATGTGGTTGTACAATTTTATTCAGAATATGTTTCGTTCAAGTGAAGCACCTCTCGTCAGTGTTTGTCCACTAACTCGCAACTGAAGTAATATATTATGTATTAACTTAATGAGCCTACCAATGAAATGTTCTCTAATTCTATCACCCTTAGATTTTACACCCATATAGATACACTCTCTGAGTTCAAAATCTCTTTAATTGATAATCATCCAAATTTTATTTACTGAATAAAATTTCATATTGGTTTTATCGTTCACATTTATAACTTGTTCTTAATCGTTCCCAATCCCGTTTGCTGGTTTAGTAAAAATACACTGGTCTAACTACAATTGAACAAGTTACATTGAGGTACATATCATCTATTACATTCGAGTTTTTAACTTTATTGCATGCATTTTTCTCCTAAAAGCATATTGTTTATTGTAATTTATGTTTAAGTTTATTGATTTTTCTATTCGTAATATATTGCGCTTTTAATTTACACAGTTTTCCATTGATCATTGATCATAATTTTTCCAGATAATTCGATAAATATTTCAACATTACAACTCAAATAATCGACTTATTCTTGTCAGTCAGTTTAATGAGAAATTAATTTATTATTTTTTTTGAATTACTAGTAAAATTTGAAGTGCATTTATGAATGTTCTACGAACAGAACAAAATAAAATTATAAACAATTATTTCACAACATAAAGTGCGTTAGGTAATAAGTAGCAAGACATATTCGTTTCAAGTGCATTTATAGCCTACAAATAAATATACGTTGTTTCTTTAAATTTTTTTTTGGATCTGTTAAATCTACCACAAAATGAAGTGGATTTACGCTTATTTTCTGATAATTTTATCATATTCATTGATATGTGGTAAAAAAAATTACTACAATAGTGATGAAGAAGAGGATGATAGAAAATTCGATAAATTAGATTATTCATTACAAGAAGAAATGTCCGGTGGTGACGGTGACTATTATGGTCCCACTGAAAGTGACCCACCACAAGATCGTAACGATGATGGTGCTGAAGGTGATCCGAAAGAACCTGAAAGTCGTAACCAAGAAAACAATCCAAAAGAGGACGGTGAACCAGAAGAGCCAGAAAATCCCAACTATGGTGGAGAGTCGTATAATTCTAAAGAACCTGACAAATATACTGATACTGAGAATTATAATTCAGATAATAATGAAAATAACGATAATAATGATTATGGTAATAATTACAAAAAATATCGAAAAGACAAATTGAAAAAAAAATCTACTAAATCAAATGATAAAAAATACTATTCTAATGAATCAGATGAAGATGATAATGATAGTGATTCAAATGATTATCGTGAATATGGTTATCCGAGAAAACGGAAAAAAAAATTACTGAAGAAAAAATCTCAAAAAGATTCGGATAAAACAGATGACAATGATGAGAATTATAATACTGAAAGTTCATACAAAAAATATTCCACTGCTAATAAACGAAATAAATTTACATCAAAGAAAAAAACCTATGGTGGTAAATACTATGATTATAATAACAGCGACTCTACTGATGAAGAGAACTACGACGATCGTAATTCTAAGTATGGAGGAAAATACAAACCTTCAAGGAAAACAAGATCTAAACGAAAACGAAAATACTCCACATATAATGGTGATGATAATGATGATGACCAGGGTGAAAGCAGCAAGAAATATCAGTCAAATAATGGCCGGAAAAAAAAGAAATCTACGAAAACTGGTAATAAGCGTAAAACCTATGAATCCGATCCCTCTGACACTAGTTCTAGAAAGAGAAATCGTAAGGAATATTCTGATAAAACCAAATATTATGCTGATAATGAAAGGGATGATGATGCTAAAGAAGAATAGATTGATGATGAATGACAATAATAATAGTTATTCAATTGTTACAATGATATACTTAATGTTTAATATTGTCTTTTTATCAAATTAATAAGTGATTGTTTCTTTTTCGAATTAAGGGAAAGAAAGTATAGTGCATTAAAACAAATGTTTTGCTCAAAGAAACAAAACTATGATATTTGGTTCAATGTACTCTAAAAAAATTCATAAAATGATTATATAATAATAAGCATCAACTGTTGTACAAGTTTTAAATTTTACTTAGTTGTGATGGTCTACAATTTAGACAGAAGAAAACTTGGAAGTAATTATTATTATTATTATTATTTTCTTGGTTTTGTTTCAGTAGGAATCGATAAAAGTTATCAAAACTTCAAACACTGTTGAATAAACGTTTCGATCTAATTGGGTACTGTTCAACAATACTCACTGAAATCATGTAAATGTCAAGCTACATATTGATGCCACTTCCGGTCAAACATAGTTTTTTATACTGGTAGGCCCTTTTTTGGGAAAGAGACATACATAAAAGTTTTGCAGCAGCTGTTTCTTCAGGTTTTTTTTGTTTTTTGTTCCTACTGCCTATTCAGTAATATTTGACCATAGGTGTTCTACAAAGCACCAAATGATTATTAATTCCTTTGTACACCAATGGAATAGGGATTTTGATTCTTTTCGGTCTTTTGTGCAGGGGCGCCGTTTGCTCATGCAGACTGATGATGCTGTAGATAGCATGGCTGAATACGTCTCTTTAACCATCCAATCGTCTTTTTTGCATTATTGCAGTCATCTAGTGAGTATTTGTGGGCATCTGCATCAGTTTCCTTTTCTCTTGTATTTATTTATTTTCTTAATGGTAGGAAATAGACGATTACAGTTTTCCGTTTGTGCAATTGTATATGAGTCAATGTTTTCCAACCGTTTGTGGTTTGAATTGTTCAGATTAGTTAATTTTGATCTCATTTAGGTGATTGCTCCAAGAAGATGAAAGATTGTTATTTAAATATTCAATATTTAGGTTAAGCTTTTTGAACAATTTCTTAATGTGGAATTTTCCATAGTGATCTTGGTTCTTGAATACTGATTTGTGAAGACCTCATCATCAGGTTATCTGGATTTTTGTGTGAAATATGCCATAGTTTGAACTTATTTTGCAACAGTCTGGTAGCTAAGTTAGGTAGTTTTTAATCAGGACAAGAATTATTTGTTTCCACTTTTGTCCTGTTTTTCTCCTTAGGACCTTGGATTCAAGTCCGTAGGTAAGAGTGGCGATTACTAAAAAAACCCACCATTTTTAATTTTTGTGAGAGCTCTTACTTTTGTTGAGCACACTAGTGATTTTATTGTAATCGACCGTAATATCAATTTTTGTAAATTTGCACTGATTGATTCATCTAGTGTGCCGTCATTTCTGATTTTAGATTAACTAGCTGAATAAAGTGTTTTCTGCTAGTTTATATAGGTCTAAGTTTATTGAGTAATTTTCACTACTTTCGTTTGTGATCATTACTTTATTCTAATGCGGTTTTTGCACGTGCAATTTGTTGATGTCGATTTGTAGCAAACGTAGAGCTTTATTTGTAGTTTTGTTAGTGGGCATATTAAAAAAAGATCATCTACATATTCTACATGTATTAATTTCCATATTTTGTTATTGTCGACTGTGAGTTGCAGTCCATTTATTACTTGATCGATTGGAGATTTCGAGATTTCTTGAAAGGCAAGGTTAAAGCGAGGTGGACTTTCTTCACTGCCTTGTCTTGCTTCCTTATTCATGCTAAAGTGGAAGTTTGTTCCTTTCAGGTATTGTTTTTGGTTTGTCTAGCTTACATTATATTGGTGGGAACGCAATGAATCTAAGATTCGATATTAGCCGATGAAAATTTACCTCGAATTCTGAAATTTAACAAAATATTACTGTTGAAGGGTTTCACTCAAACCGGACACAGTTTGTAATATTCTGAGTATTCAAGATTCACACCTAAATCCTACATTTCAGACTCAAGTGTTACACAAGGAACTGTGTGATTTAAAGACGAACTTCATCACCACCTGATTCAGACTAGAGAAGCACTCATTAAAATAGTGCATCAGACAATTGTGGTTGATATGGTGGAGAAAATTTGTAGCTCAGGTGGATGATTGTTCTAGCGTTTCGTTCTCTGAGCTGGATGTTTCAGTTGTAGAGCTTCCGTTGTTCTTCTGAACAACATCATCAGCAGAAACCTCGGATAGAAGTGAAGTATTCGAATTTCTCCACATTTGAAATGTAGCTTGTTCTGTTAACCTCGATCAATGCATTTGTTGACAACAAAGGTATTTTATTCTCTAAACATCGAAATGGAAGACAAATTAGACTACTTGAAACCTACAATTCAATGAGGTTCTATTACCATACATTAAATGTGAATTAGTTTCAATACATATTACCATACATTAAATGTAAATTAGTTTCAATACAGTGTAAGTGGAAGTTTGCAAATAGTTTCGATAAATTTATGACTAATTTGTGTAGTAAAAAACCAAAATTTTGTTAGTCATTGTTATGCTCGTCACTTGTTATGCTTGAACTATAACGAGTTCACCTTAGTCGATAAACGAGGGCGAAGACAAGTGATCCATTGAAACGATATGACACTCTAATCCAAGCGTCCCAAACCCTCACTAACCGTATCAAAATGTCTTGATATGGCTTAGAAAGTGCATTCTTCAAGCACCCAGAAAACATGGCGTTTTGTACAGAAGAAGAAGAGTAGCATGAAACTTTACAGACAATGCATATTTATACATTTAGGTCGACCATGAGTAATAACCAATAAGAAAGAACATTTGAAAGTATGTGAACTTGATAGTTTGAGACGACCTTAAATATTGAACAATAAGACTTGACCAATAGAATTAGACTTACCAAATAATTGCCTTAGGATATTTGATGAATATCCTAACAGTCAAATAAATTGTCATATGTCGAACAATCAAATTATAACTGGTCAGTCAACTCAGTGAATCCTACAAATCAGGTAGTAAAAATTTAAATTATGTACTGAATGTTATCATGAATTAAGGTTATCATTAGAATAGTAATATCAAACTGAACCATAAGTTTCAATAGTATGATATATATTTTTAGAGATTTTACATTTCATTCTGTTAGTTAGTTAGTCAGCTACAACATACAATTCAGTACATACATACACACATCAGTTCAAGTTGATGTACCATATAAAACGCACAGAGATGGAATTGTCAATTCAGTTCCCTTAATAGTAGAGGCGGTAGCCGTATTAGCGGTAATCGAAAAGATAAAGGATTAGAAAAGTGATTTGAGAAGTATATCCTAGTGACGGTAAATACTTATAATGAGGTAATACTTACTTTATTCTAGAAAGTCTTATAGATGTGAATAGATAAATTACAGAACACTAATGTTTCAACAATTACTAGGTTTGTTTCTGTATATATATATATATATATATATATATATATATATATATATGTATATATATATGCTATCATTGAGCATTTTTAATAATGATTAATATGAGATTCCGACAGAAATTGAATTAACATTAAATATAAGTGCATTGAAAAGAAATCAGTTTGATTATTCTTGGCTATTTCTCATTTTTTTATTGCTTTCAAAGCAGTTTTCCTTCTTGTAATTTAGTATTTTTGTGCGTTATGATTACACAACATAAAAGGTAAAATATAATAATTAAAAGCATGAACTGGATATTATATATCAGCAAACATTACTTGAGTTTTACAGAAATATAATAGGGAGATTAACAGTTGCTTTAGTATACGTTTTTAATATTTGATATATAACTTCTTAAACAGTTTGTTGATCAAACTTGATGGAATAATATTTTGTTGACATAAAAAAATCTTCGAAACACTATGCGTTCCATAATGAATCCTGTAAATTTGATTCAGAAAATTCCATATACCAACAAATGACATACTACTAGTTAATGTACTGAGTAATGAACTTCTGTGCAGCAGAATTATATTTCTACAAAGTTAATAAAAAAAACTCTCCTGACATTTATTTGAAACTAAACGTACACTTGTATAAGTGTGTCTAATCAACAATTGGATTTACACGTTAACAGCTTCGATATAAAAGAAAACAGCAATTCTCAGCTTATATTATCTCAGTTATCGTTGAAATGTCCGATTGTGATTACAACAGTTTACTGAGATTCATTGGAAAATAAGTGACAATTAAAACACTATATTCCATGAGTTAAGCTGCGTTGAATTTTGATTCTCCTCATTTACTGTTTCTTTGTAGTAATTATATATGTCAGGTAATATACTTAAAACGTATTATGGAGTATTAAACAACTATGAATATTCAACATCTAATTATGCTTACTATATGACAGCGTATTTACATGATACATTTGTAAACAGGATAAATTTAAGTAGAAGTTACTTGAAAGTTTCTAAAAATGGATGGATTTGTTTCAGTACAATAATAATCTCAGTTGTATCTGCAATAGCATAAATACACTAACCAGTGAACTATTCATTTCACCTGCATTAATGAATGTATCGGCGTGAGGATGTTTTGTAATTCGGCCGATTACAGGAATGAATTGTAAGTATGGATTTCACAAGGCAAAATCCATGTACAAAGCAAGAAATTGCCAGGAACACGTGTGAATAATGTTTTGGTTTCATTTTTAATTACTGTACAGAAATTCGATGTAAATAACTCCATTATCTTGTTTATATTCAGTTCTATAGTTTTAAGAGAGTAAATATAAAATGTATGGCTACATCTAAAAACATACTTGCATATACATTATTTGTCATACAAATAAGATATTTAGACATGCAATGTACATTCATTTCACATGACATTGTAGTTAAACAAAAGCGTTGCTTAGTCAGTCTTGAGTTGATAAATAATCACATTAACTGATTATAGAAATGTAGTCCATTTGTTTCTAACACTCTAGTTAAAAAGACTTGCTGAATGCTGCTAGATCGGTGAACCTAACGTTTGACAGACAATTGGGTCTTAAGTGACTGCTAACAAGGTATCTGAAACTAGTAAGAGATGAATTATTTATCATTTCACGTTATTTATCTTATCAGCTCGTGAAAATCTGAAAAACTTACCAAAAGAAATAATGGGAAAAGTAACTATTTTACAACATATAAACGTTTCTATATTAATCAGCTCCCACTAGATTATGAACTGATTTACTAAGTTTTAGGCTTCATCATATTTTTAGTTGATATTAGGTAATTATTTATCATGTAGTTAGTTTTAGCTCTAATTTAACTGGAATCCTTTCGGTGTGAGTTCACTATATGTAGAGCTAACAGTTAAATTCTTCTAAAGTGGTCCTTTCCACTTCTTCTTTGATGAATCACATGGAATCATCTAAAATGGATATTCCTTTGCTGATGTATTCGTTCATATTTACAATGACAAGGTCAGAACCCTTACCTGGTGGAAGCAGCGTTGTTGTTTCAATGCTTCGTGATGGTCCTTAGTTAGTACATTCGAATATGGAATCAGTGTTGTAATACACTTATAGGTAATATCTACTAATTTCGTTACTCAATCTTCACTAATCTAATTCTTATTTTATGTAAGCCAAAGTCATTTTTTCACTCAATATTTTCTCGAAACTTAGGTAAACCTCTACGGATATTGATTACTTATTACGTAACTCTTCGATTACTAAATCCAGACAAAAGATCTACAAAACTTTTGCAAAGTTTTTATAGTTTTTTAATTATCACCCAACCCATCTTATTTGTCTGCAGACTTCATTAACTTACTATCCAACCCCTACTGATTTTTTTATTTGTACTCTATCTTCAAATGACCTCAATCCTGTTCAGGCGTATATAGTTATCACTGTCAATTACTTCGAAGTGTATCCTACATCAACTCCGCCAATACAAATGTCAAGACAGTTCTACTGTATGGAGCGGAAACTTGGAGAACTACCAAAGCCATCATCCAGAAGATACAAGTGTTTATCAACAGTCTACGCAAAATACTTCGAATTAGTTGGCCAGACACGATCAGCAACAACGTACTGTGGGAGAAAACAAACCAGATTTCAGTGGAGGAGAAAATCAGGAAGAAGTGGTGGAAGTGGATAGGACACACACTACGAAAAGCACCTAACTCCGTCACAAGAAAAGCCCTTACATGGAACCCTCAAGGCAAAAGGAAAAGAGGAATGCCAAGGAACACATTAAGCCGAGAAATAGAGAAAGATATGAGAGGAATGAACAAACATTGGACAGAACTGGAGAGGGAAGCCCAGGACAGAGTTGGTTGGAGAAAACTGGTGGGCGGCCTATGCTCCATTGGGGGTAACAGGCGTAATGAAAAAGTAAGTAAGTATCATACATCATTGCCATACCTTTTAGCATATATGGTTGTAAGCAAGTGATGAGAAACCACGAAATTTAAGGAATTTAGATCACTCTGCTTCAAATGTTATTCAGGCCGTATTTAATTTCATAAAGGAAAGGTGATCTTCGGCTATTACTAAGATAAGCTATCTACGTCGAATCAACTGAACTGATAAATAAATGTAGATGTAGGAAAACTAGAAAAAATATATGTTAGTTGCATGATGACAGATGGTTTTCGGAAAAAATCGCAAGCATAGGTTTGCCAGCAAAAGGTCCTAGTATGTAATATTTGACGTTTCTGGCTATGTCCTCAGTGACTAGTATTTTCAGAAATATCAGTTTCCTACGTTCATCTTCCTGCACAGTAAATACAACTATTTATAAGAAACTTTATACGTAACTCATTTCATTCAAAGTATCGTAAACACAGTCTTTTTTACATCCTGCACATAACTTGTAGGGGATTCAGCCGGACTTCATGAATAATTAGTGAGTTAGAAAGTATGGAATTGTATGTACTGACAGCCAGACAAAGGTTTTCTACACACACTTCTCTTAATTGGCCTATCTTCTCTTCTATTTTAAAAGCCGTTGAGAAAATCCAAACTGTTTTCATGCTCTTCCTCATAAATAATTAATAGTGTGGAATTTATGACGTTTAATTACATTAACAGTTCTTCTTTATTCACAATACTGTTAATAATAGAATATGTCTCTTCGATGTAACAGAGGTTTAATCCAGCTTCTCTATAAATTACTTCATGGATCGATTGTCTATGTTTGTTGGAAATAAATCAAATCAGATAGTGCCTCAGCGTAATCACAAATCTATTTCATTAATTTTTCCATGATGTGTACTACTGAAAACAGACAAATATTCACTGTATATCACTGACACTAGGGATTCCAATAGTAATTTGTTCTTCTAATTTTTGTTTGCACAAATTTCAAGGTTCATCTTCATGATACTTTAAGCGAACTGAGTTAACATTTGTTGGCTTGTCTAACAAAGTAAGTTGGAAAGTAAGTCGTTAACATTCACTTACAATAGATTTACTGACAAAATATGATTCATTTTATTTACCTAAACAGTATAAATTGTGTATAGATGTTGAGACTTTTTTTTGAATAGCGTATGATTAGTGAAATAATTTTAGTCGACTTATGTTATCACCGACAAGTTCTTAGTATTTATAAATTTGAAAATTTGAACTCTTCATAGTAAAAGCTTAACCTCTCATAATTTCATAGTTAAATTGGAAAACCACCATGTACCGTAGTCGGATAATAGTAATTTCATTTGCTTGAATAACTATAACTTTGCCAACTTAGGCTTTACATATAAGACACTAAACGGAGAAGGCTAGAGAACCCAGTATCAAGTTAATACTGTGTTGTGTTTTTGAATTCCTATACCGTACATTTTTCATAATTGCATGTAACTCTAAATAAGAGACAAGTGATATGCGTAGAATCTTTGTGGGTCAACTTAACTTTGTAAAACAGTAACGCAGTTATGAATTCCACAGAATGTTTGTTTATAAAAATGAACTTTAATTTTTAGAAAGTATTGTTTAAATTTTCAGTGTTTATTTCTTGATCAATTAAAAAGCAATAAATATAAAGTAAACAATGAAGAAAAGGGAGGATTTTCTTTTTGATCATTGAACAATCTATTTCAGTTTATTTCCAAAAAGAAGTGAACATATTTACCTATTGAACAATGAATTGGATATAAACACTATTCACTAACTCACTCCCTTTCATAGTTATCGAACAATGTGGTATATAATTAATAATAAATTATAATTAAAAATAATTGATTACTTCAATTATCGAGTTTATTAAATTCATATTTATCAGATATATTATAAACTGTTGAATTGAGTAAACACTTTTCTATTAAGTTGTTCATTCATAACTTTCAAGATGTTTAATAAAACAATGAAATATAACGAGGTAATTCTGGTATAATTCTTTGAAATATTAAATTATCATTGTGTTCTTTGTGTCTTCAGTTAAATTCATTGATCTATCTAGTGTGTATCGTTTTAATTTTTGGTGCAATAAATGTACAAGGTAAGTTGTAAACTTTGAAAATGATTTATACATTTCAACTAATATGTATTTAACTTTTTGTAAATAATAGGTAATATGAGTTCATTGTATCAATGCTGCGTTATAAGAAAGACTGCTGGAATTTCTGATGTTTTTAGTCAGATTTTCTTTTTGAACTAAAAATAAAGGCTACTGACTATATTTTTCCTGTTCAAAAAGTTACATGTCCAACTATTTAAAACATAGTAGACACATACTTTTTATTTCTTAAGTTTGACATCAAACATTTTAGCGACTGATTGATTATAATTAGGATCATTTTTAATGATTAAAGATTGGGAAAATTCAACGGGATAAACTTTTTTAATAATGCAACAAATGAAACGAAATTGTATGATGAAAATGAACTCATAAGTCATTTGAAGTTGGTTAATAGGTATATTTATATAGATTAAAATTTAAGGAATTTAATTTGAAAAATTTGAAAGACCTTTAACTCTGAGGTTACATTCTATCTGTAATACATCTTAAAACTTGGTAGTTTAATTTGTTCAGTGCATTCAATAAATTTGTAAAAGATGAAAGTATGGAGTTGAGTTCTTCAACGTATAGTTCGAGTAGCATACATCTGAAAATGACTGAATGCTTTGAAATGTTTTATTCACTTCTTCTCCGCTTCGCTTTTTGGTATGTCCCGAATAAACGTATTCATCACTACGAGTTCACGTTCTGATTTATAAATCGTCAGACGCTACTTAGTGACAATCGTCTGGACAAGGTAATTACCGAGCTTAAGAACACGCAGTAAATCGACACACTAAAAACTAATCGTTATGAAAATTACATGAAGATAATTTTATTCATGTAATCGGAATTTCACAAGTTTTTTCATAATATTTAGATTCATGTTAATCATAACTCACTGAATTCTATTTTACTTATTCGAAAGTGAATTTTATGATTTCATCCATATTTTCTTAGGTAGAAAATTAGTGAGAACATCTGGAAATGACAGTGAGTTTGCGGGTGTAGATGGTTTAAAATGTATAATAGTAAAATAATTTGAAACTTATTACAAATGATGTCATGAAATGACTATGTTTATACACCTAAGAATATAATTCTATCCAATACAATTAGAAATAAAATTGAATTGAAGTCTAACAATCTCAAATGATAAGAGACAATATCGTCACTGTTGCTTTAATTAAATATTTTATCTAATTACTGAAATGTACATAACACCAGTTTGTATTTTCTATTCATAATGATGGAGATTTATGAAACAATATAAAATCTTACTGGCAAATATTATTTTCTGTTGCGAAAAATTCCCATAACATACAGCTTATTAAGCAACTACGATTAGATGACAAATTTTGTTCATGGAACTTAGATTACAGTGACTTTTAAAAGGTTTAAAATGTTATACATAAAGATTATTGACCTTCATTAGCATAATTAGTATACGATAAAGAGATCCTAGACAATGACCTCCAGCCTCATTCTTTTCAGATCATGTATAAAGTCACATCTATAGCAATATGAAACAGAACATAACTATGCTACATCATTAGTGCGAAAACGTTTAACTGTTAATAAGAACAAGTTTAACGTAGAATTACGTAGTCACATTGACATGATTTGAAAGACAAAACTAAATATAGATAGTCATAAGATTTGATAGTGTGTCTATGTTATCGTTTGAAATAACTTAATATCAGTAAACATGGATGGTGGGTAGCTGTGGATTTAGACAAACAATACGAATGAAATAACATAATACCATATAGTTTATCAAGATTTGGAAACATTCACTTCACTTAGATTTCAACTGATTCATTGTATTATTCTCAATACTGTCCATGTTTTTTTTAATTAAATGTAATCAAATTTCAAATTATCTGTAGTCATCAAGTCGTAGTTACTAATTATTTTGAAATTAAGGTTAATCATTAGTGGTTTACACTGTTTGACTTTTATTCATATGTTTGAACGAAAACGTAAGTGCTACGGACTAAATAGTTTAACTTCTGGAGCTATGGTGTCGACCCTGATTTATTTTATAATGCAGTTGATTTGCATTTTTCATAGTTAACATGATGAAAAAGTATTTTAAAAAAATATTTTTGGTTTTCTACGGTACAAAATAGTAAACTTTATTTTCTGCAGTGAAAAGGCATTTGTCTGAACGTCTCATTGGATCTTAGTAAAAGTGCAATCAAGATAAATTACCGGGAATTCTAATCTTTCGATGGGATTTCTTGTGACATCGCTTGTTCCTTTTCGATAACATAGAAAGCGTTTTTCAGTAAAAATAAAGTTTCAATGAACAAAATTCTTTAAACACAATGAATATGTATTTAGGCAATTTCTAAATGTCTGTAAATCAATGAGCTTACGAAATAATCCTAGCTTTCATTCTGTTTAATTATAATTCACTTCTATAATTTCCAGTAAACGAAATGGAAGATGATTTCAAAGCTGTATTTGACATGATAGATAAACGAAAATTTGGTCCTTCAGATGAAACAGGTATTTAAAATAATTATAACTTACGTACGAGTAGTGATCTCATTCGATGATCAATAATATTTGATAGTTCTTGTTTAACTGAATATATTCGGAATTCATTTCTTAATTACGAGTGGAAATTTCATGAGTTTCATGACTAATACTTACTTATTGCAGTTACTTCTAGTGGAGCATCAACCACTGAACAGGATTATCCAGAAAGCTCTCCTCAGGGCTCTCTTGATGAGTTGTTCCTAAGTGTTATTCAGTCTTCCCACGTTTGTGTCGAATTCTCAATACCATATCTTCTTTGGTCTACCACTTGTCATTTGATCCTAAAGATTTCAAGTCAGGGATTAACTCATGACGAAGTTAAGTGATTACTGTAATGTGTGCCTTATCCACCTTCAGAGTTATTTCCCTATTTCTTTCTTAAATGGAACCTGGTTTCTTTCGTAGCATAACAGATTGAAACTGATGGTGTCTGGCCAATGGAACTGGAGTACGTCGCATAAATAAATACCATTATCTTTTGGATAATGGCTCTAGTAGTTCTCCAATTTTTAGCTCTGTACAATAGAACTATCTTGATGTTTGCGCTGAAAATACTAATTTCGATTTTGGTTACAGCTGTTTTGAGTTCCGAATGTTCTGTAGTTGTAGAAACGCTATCCTAACATAATTTATAACGATGAATAAAACGTCTATTGCTTTTGATTTGCAACAAGTTTGAGAAAAATATAATGTTTTGATATTTTAAAATTTTATGGGAATCCTGTACTTGAATATGATAAACATATTTTTTATGAACATGCAATATTGAATAGGTATTTTGAATCTTCCCATCGATAGTTATGACTGCAGTTGATTAGTCTCCTTTGGTTTATTTCCATCCCATGTGGATTACCTCGATATAATCATTAGTTCACATGTATCATCGCCAGAGATAAACAGTCGATAGTGGTGAAATCCAGGACTCTCGTTTTGTCCTATTCGGTACTCTTCAGAACTAACTTTTTTCTCCGGAACTCGGTCCTAGTATTGTTCACTTGGCTACTGTGTCCAGAGAGCCACCGGCCTACTCAATGAAGTGAAATCTAATATTTGTATTGATGGTTGAAATCTTCCCGCATATAGTTTATTTTTAAGTTTTCGAACAGTTAAGCTACTAAAGTTGATGAAAGATAGCATGATAACAGAATAACATAGCGTATGAAAGAGTATAGTTTTGTGGAATTAGCTTTTCAAGGTGTTTTAGATTGATGTATGACGAAACTGACAATTAGTCGGGTTACAAATCGAGGAATAACGACCTCTAAATCTGTTGTTAGCGGTTTATATTTCTACTGGTAAGAAAAAGGAAACTAGATGATTTTCATCTCTGCAAGTTTGCATATTATAAATGTACATTAAATTAGTCTAAAAATCTGAATTTATTTACCAAAACCATAATATTCCTTTGTATAATAAAGTCTTAGATTATATTGTATCGAACTGATCAACAACAGTGGATTTAATCAACTGGTTAATAACTCCTCAGTGTTTTGAACATCCATAATAATTATTAGACTATTTATAAGCCATTTCAATTCTGAAAATTATAAGAAGTCAACATAAAAATTATATTGAAAACAGTCAGTTCATCTCAACTTTCTTTTAATTTGTGAATCAGTATTAGCAGATATAAAGCGTTAAAATTAAACGCCTGTTTGTCAACTAATCTAGTGAACTTTTCAAAATTCATTTTCTTGTTCAATTCAGATCCTCCTGGTTGGGAAACAGATACAAAATATGAAAAAGAAATACGCATTGGCAAAGTGAAGAGAGGAGGAAAAGCTGGGTCAGGTAGATTTTAACTTGTTTCATTGAAATACATCAACTGGTTAACATGGATTATGGCACTGAAATTATATTGTATTTAATTATATCAGTTAATGACCTGAAAAAGTACGTATGTATGGTCAGTTCTTAAACAAGGTTTTCTAGCACCTTCAGGCAAATCTTTTCCATATCAGCACTAAAGTTAATCTTACTGAAATAACAAATAGTAACTGAGCATGTTGGTCAAGCTACAAATTACGAATAAGTTAAAATCTCGTCAGTTATTCGATTAATAACACTGATTTCTTTGGTAAAAATGTAAGCTTCATTTTAAACTGGTGAGGAAATTATTTACTTCATGATTTTCATGTTTATTTTATTCATTCCTGTTTCTTGTTTTTAAATCTATACCCCGCAATTAGTTAAATAAATGAATTTTAAATTTGCCATTATATAACATATAAACATTGCCGCTTTATTTCCATGAAGGTCAAGGAATTGAGAAAATAGTATTCAAGAAGAAGAAACCTTTCGATAAAAAGGATTCTAGACCAGGTAATGTATAGTGTATAGTTTTTTTTAAATTTACAACTAAAACATTTAACACCCATGTATTCGGATTGCTTGTCCTTTGAATAAAATTTTCTATAAAATAATGAGATGATAAAAGTTGGTATTTCAGACATCATCACCATCATCGTCCTTATCATTGGAATCATACTCATCATCATGGTCATCATAATGATGACAGGGAACATGTGACCAGTTTGGAATTCATTCTAATTCATTCTAGTTGGAATACTTACTTCTGTATGCGTCTGTTGGCCGAAATCTCTACCCACATGGATGTGACCATACGGTGTGATTGATTGAAGTTGAATGTATCAGAAGAAGCAAGAATGAGTGGTTGTTAGAAATGCATGCTGTAAGTAGCCCCTCTGCAGTGAATGTTTTCAACTCTTGCATTTTCTCACTCAAAGTGGAAACATGAAAAAAACAAGAGTAATAAAATGAAAGCCTCAATTTATATATAATAAAACAATCAGTCAGTCAATGTTAGAGAACCGTTAGAAACATGGAAGTACTAGACGGTCATATAATGAAATATATAATATAAATCACACAACTGAAAAAATTAATTTAAAAGTATTACAGTATCACAGATTGTTGAAAGTAAAAATAAACTGTTTTTAGCTACAAAATGATATTTGAAATTTTGAGTAGTTAATGCATTGAAAAAACCAAGTTTGCAATACTCATATAACTTTTATAGAAAGTTCTTGTAACTGGATTTAAATCATTCGTATAACTTGTACATATTTCATATATTAAACATTATGGTACAATAATTGTAGATATTTTAAATTTTGTGTCGTATAATGACGTTATAAAGAAAAAATCGCTTTACATAATGATTGTTCATTGGTTACTCGTATTAGATTGGAATGAATATGTTTTCTGAAGCCATTTCGATCACAAATTTAGACACATTCGCTTTATATATACAAACACTACTCCGAACATACATACAATCGCATAAAAATGTTATTGATTAAACAACCCTCATAACCGTACATGTTTAATATTCTTAAACATGATTTGTGAAAATTATTTTTGAAACAAACTCAGCAATTGAAATTTTAGATAATTCCAACGTTTCATCCAGCTATCTTGTCTGGACTTCGTAAGGACAGTAATCATGAAAATCAAAATTACCAAACAATCAAAATAGTTGAATGAGACGAAGAAATTATCGAACAGTTTAAATCGCTGAGATTATTTCAAGTATAATTTTCACAAATAATGTATTTAACTTGCTCGGAGCCTAATATTTGTCACACTTCGCACACGTAATGATGAATATTCTCATAAATTATTCAACGCCAGTCAGTCTTGACTAGTATTTTGATATGCATTGGATTAGTGATTTGCTGATATTTTGGATGGAATTCGATCAACTGTTGGGGATCTTAGATCCTTTGAACTCGCTTGATAAATGCCTTATCTTGGATTTCACGTTTGCGAGCATGAGCTGATCAGTTGGCCTTGAGATTTCATTTGCCACCAGTAAAGTCCATGTCTGTGATTGGCTGGTGTGTATTTGAATGTGCTATTTTTGTGTCTGTCCCAAGGGCGTTTCTATGATGTATAAATAAACGAGAGTTGTGTGCTTGATTGTATTGTGATTGCTGGGTGTTAGGGAATATACTTTCTACGCTTATCAAGGCTTCTGTTTTGCAGTTCGGGATCAAGGTAGCCTACCTGGACGCTGGTTCATTGTCTCGTTCGTGTTTATCGACTAAGGTGAATCCGTAATAGCTTCAACCGTACCTAGTGACGAACATAACATAACCTTGGTTAATATATTGACGAGTATCAAACAGGAGTAAACGTTAATCATGGATTCGACATTCTTTATAAATCTGTTAATGTTGGTTGATATATTTTTCGTCTAAAGTATAATGCATTACAAATGTTCTGACAATCAATATGTATATTTTAGGTTACTCCGATTGGGAATATACTGAAGAAGATGAAAGAGAATTATTTATTAAGGAATAATTTCATGCAAGTTTTTTCTAAATTATTAATATAATCTGAGTGAACTAATAAAATTTAGTTCTTAGATACAAAGTCTTATAATTGTATTCTATGATGCAAGTATTTAACTGTTGATTTTATTTAGAAGAAAATGCGTATAAAATTTTATGTAATAAAATGATTATTATCATTGAATGTAAAGTCTTAGTTCTCAATGCATTTACTTCTCCAAATTTATATTCTGATTTGTTGTTTTTCAAAATCCTGACCATTTAACTTGATAAGATGATGAAAGAATGGTATGATTAGAAATAATAATTAATATAATTCAACCTTTATTATGAAGGTATGAATGCATTCACTCTCTAAATTTACTAAGAATAGTCATCCGATTTCCTTTTACAAGTGACAGCTTAAGTTATTTAGCCTATAAAATTTACTAAACTAAAAAATTAAACGTATGTTTGCCAAGTACATGCATAAATATTCTTCTATGGTAGCAGCATAAAGTATAAAGTTCTTTTTTTCGGTGATTAACATTGATAGTTTTTATCAGATGATTGATTTCACAATGTCGGAATTCCCAGACACATAGGTTACTTCTGTTTTTCCCTAATCATTACACGATATCGTTAAGGAACTTGAAGGTCAAAGGTTAGATATATATGTGATGATGTTAATGTGGAAAGTTTTAACCATGCTTTTAAAAAATTACATTGTCTTTCCAGCTGATAATGTACATTCAAATTATAATTATTCTATCGTCTGGGTTATAATCGAAAGTTGATCAATATTACCGTTGATGAAATAATTTAGCACGCTTTTGTTTAATGTTTCAGATACTGAATAGAATACAAGATGCGAATCAAAATTTAATGATTGATGAACTCAGATAACAATCAATGAATTGTTTGAATATAAATGAATTTAATTAAATTTATGAGTAATTTTTCAAATTCTTTATCTTATTATCCTAATGCATTTTATTTTGAATCGTCGGTTTTGTAGTAAAATGTAATCATTTTTTTATTTGTATCATCTTCCTTCTGTTAATTATTGTGCGAGATATTGAGTGAATTTTTAGAATCAATGAACAAAAATGAAACTTATGTACGGTGAACATAGATTTACTAAAGCATGTAAGCATGCAGTTTTGCACATTAATAATTAAGCAGTGCATGTGAAAAATCTCGGTAAATGAATAATTCAATAGTTCCTCATGTGGAAACAATTATTAATTGAGAATTCTGTGCGGTGTTATTTTCCGCTTATAGTTCGTGTAAATGTTATAATTGGCTGATCTGATGACTGAAAAAACAATGAACTATCGAAATGGAATTTATTTTAAAAATCTTAATCCATGTCAAATCAAGCAGTTTCGAGTTGTTGTTGTTTATTGCTTATTTCTTATAAATTCAAAGGACAACAGATAATTCGTAGTTTATGATTGACTTAAATTGAATATTGAAAAGTTTTCTTAGTAATTAACTGAAATTTAAAACATATTTTGATACATTTAGACTTCAAATAATTCTTGTAGAATAAATATAAATTGATAGCAAGTAATGAAATTATACCATCCAGTTGTTTGACAAAATCTCAATTGAACAATCGCCAGACATTTAGAAATATTGTTTAAAACATATAGAAGCATCTAATCACTTCACAGAATTACTGAAGAATATCAGAGTCCAATGCAAAGGTTTAATCAGGAAAGCAGTACAAGCACTACTAAAGTATTAGTTAGTAATTAGTTAGAAATTTCAATTTTTCATTTGTCCGTGATGTCAAACACATATTTATGTAGAGGGAAAGCATGCACCCTGAATTAATTACCGCGAAATTATTTTTACCGTACGATAGTATGAATCGCAAACGTAATGTCTTAAGTCGAGTGTTTCTGACAGCAATTCAAAATGTTACTAGGAAGGCATGAACATTCATCAAATGGACAAAAATAACGGAAAATGAAGTTTACTACTATATAAACTTAAGTAGTATAAAGATTGTCAAATCAAAGTAAATGCACATATGGGGTATGGGGAGAATCATCAACTACGAGAGAGAAACCTCTCAATTTTTTGGCAAAGCACTGACTGAACAAATATATGTAAACAATGGAAACTACAACTAAACTCACGACAAGTACTAAACTTCCTCAACTATCAAAAACTATAAAACTGAAAAAACGGTAACATTTTACATAAAACACCGAACAATAGACTTTTTTGGCTTTGTCAATTCAATTACTATTGTCAGTGTTACTGAAGTGAGAATGATACCATCAGGTGTGGCTCTGATTTCCACACAGGTTTTGTTGACGGAGACCATATGTTGAAAACAACAACCTCGATTTGGTGTTCCGAAAAGCTATCAAAACGAGTTACTCCTATATTAAGTTTAGATTTAATACTGAGTTATATGGAAAAATTGGTAGCGTCGCTATGTATATGACCCTCAACCTTCTTTTAACAGATTGTTCCATGGTAAGTCTTTAGAACAAACCACTTCAAACGTTAAAACGGTGACCTCAACCTCATTCTGGTTATATTCAGAATCGAATCCGAAATTTCAATTCCTTGATGACTTACTAAATAAAAGACAAGGTGGTATATCAGAAACGTAAATATATCAAAAGCCGACCAAACAACGGAAAAAGGAGCCTTATTAAATTTGTAAAATCAAGTGCTAGGCGAATATATTCAGCAGATGCGAGAGACGAGTAACTGCTCAACCTTTGACATATGGACCTCAAAAACACCTATTCATCAAGGTTTGTTGAGGGAAACCTGAAGCCTTATATTGTCTGCAAGACGTCATAAAGATCATAATACAAGTGTTGGCCATTATTGTTCGATAGCCATGACATTTGGTGCTCATAGACGGTAATTTGACTGTTAAAATATGCTTCTAATGCTGGTCATCTTCTCGACTATGAACATTCATTATTATTATTCTCATGTTTTTAATTTATTCTTCATCCATCTCATACCAAGTGGAAAATTATCCTTCCCACATTTATCCGATTACCTCTCTTCAATTCTCGACTATTAAGCAAATTTCTTTGAAACGATGTTATTGTTCTCTTATTTATCAACAGACTTTTATTTGTAACTCACATTTATAATATATATATATATATATATATATATATATATATATATATGTATTGCTTGAGTTAATGATATTGTCGAATACGAAATTTTACTCCCTGAATTGTCTTCAAATCCTCTTTAATGTCACTATGAGTTACTTCCTCTCAGCTACTTTCAACAGGCATTAAGCAACCAACAAACAAGAATCTAAATAAGACAGATATAAATCAGACAGCTTAAAATTAAACGTTATATTTTTCACTCTTTATTTACAACCAAACTTTCAAAAGCGTTTTCTAACTTCTCGGATCTAAATTCAGTAATCTACTGGTCCTAACATGTTTATTAACTAACTTTTTCCAGATGAATTTTTCAGTAATTGTACTGAATTCAATAAATTTAGTGTTTTCATTTATCAACAAAACTGATCTTTATTCAGTTTTTATTTGAAAATACATTGTCCTAACGATAACTCTATAATAAGGACTGTTACAGAAATCGATGAGATCATTTCAATTTTAAATACGTTAGCTGATTATTATTGAGTAATCGACAATTAACATGTGACATGTAAATATCAAACTTATTGCCTTAAATAATCTTAAAAAACTTTCTATGAATTCTTTTAATCGTTATATTGGCGTGTTAATTAATAAAACTAATGCACTATCGTTCATGTCTCTTTACAGCCAACCATAAACCAAACATTTTTGCATAAAACAATGATGTTGGTCAATGTGAATTGAAATATGTGATAAAAGAGACAACTAAGAAATGAGACACTGTTATACTGATGAATTTATTCGTAAATAAAGAAAATTCTTGATATTTTGTATGGTTAAATGTGTAGACCATAATTTATTTTTCCCATTTTATTGTGTATCTTCTATTTCTTAATAAAAGCTGGATCATCTAAATTTTTTTTACAAATAGAAAGAAAAGATTAGTTAAAAATTATTCAATGAGTAATAAGAAAATAATTAATGAAAATTAACATTGTACAGATGATTTATACATAACCTTATTGTTGACATAGGCTTGTATGTGTATGAAGTGTGACTCTGATAACACTCACTGACACTTTGGTAAATGTACCATGCATACGATTGTGTGCAAGTGTTTGCATAACTGTACGTTTAAATAATTCAAATAAATTGTAGGTATATTTCTGCATCTGCTCACTGTAACATAGTTTTGTAAATGATCAGATCAGATAATCGTTTCATTGAATTAACGAGAAGCTTAGTCTTTAGACTAATAGTGCTTATTATAATCTCGATATGAAGTAGATTGGAAATGTTTTTTTCAATCAATACAGTCGGAGTGTTTTAATGAATTTCGTGTGTTTGGATTAAGAACTGTTTTCCATGTAAGTTATTCAAATAGATGTAATTTAAATGTGAACAATATTATTTGTACCTTAACAATACCGACAATAGAGGTTTATTTGAAAATTACACATTCAAATTCATTCTTCCACAGTATTTACACAAAGTATCATTACCACATGTGTGAGGAAAGATATTTGGTTGCTACTAAGATTAGAATGGAATTTTCATCATCGAAAAATATTATTCATACAACTGCCAAACATCAGAATTGACTGAAAAACTGTTTCATCCAAATTTTAGATTCTTCATCAATGTAGAACTATTACGAAGCCTGAAACTGAATCAACTACCTATGAGCCTCGTTGTGAACTATCTACATTTGTGCACTTGTGTTGGTTTCCATTAGTTTCAATTTCTACTATGAAGCATTCTGAGTGAAGATGTTCAGTTACATGTCGTTTGTTTGTTTGTGATGAATAAAGAGAAGATTTTATTATCTGTGAAATAATAACATGAAATCTATATGTGTGAAAATGTTAAGACGTGATTGAAATCCAAAAAAATACGTTTTCTCACATGTAATCTCTTGGATCTAAAAAATCTAGCAGAATATGATTGGTACAGTTTTTAAATAGTTGCTGAAACGTATACAAATCTTAACATTGTCATATATATCATTAGATGAATTCGTCCAAACTGAATTTCGAGAATAGGTAATGTAATAAAGGATGAAACTATTAAATATATTGTTCCACAATACTATGACATGTTTTATAATCTAATTCAATACGGTTATTATTATTTTTTGAGTTATAAACACATTTTAATGATAAGAAATAATGAATAAAATGTGATGTGAAATAATTGGAATTACTTGATTTTCGAGTTTCTTTCGGTAGCTTTATTGAAACCTCTTCACCGATTCTTTTACCTGTTAAACAAAAGATAAATAATTTTGTATTGAGATAAATTATACCGGGGAAATTGTAATTTCCACGTTTATCCTAAAACTGGAAAATTATTGTATAACGTCCTATGATAATGTGATGATAAGAGTACTTCGAAGGTAATCTAATCGCGTAGTCCTAGTTCTTGGTAGTAGCGATAAACTAGACTGTACCATAATTAAGTGAACTAACTGTAAATAAATTTTTTGGGAAACAACGTAAAAATTACCTCTCTTTCTGCGTCCGATTCTGATTTCTCTCTGAAAGTCTTGTTCATACTCTAATAAGAATAAAATGTACAAAATCAATCATAAAATCAGCATAATCTGATGAGATTTAATAAATTGTAAAATTATTCAAGCATTACTTCTCGCTAAACAGTAGTACATGCCCTATAAACTACAACTCTATATGGTAATACAGGCGTAGTTTGGAAAGAGTATTTAAGAAGATTACTTTCATTATGAAGTGTCCAATGAACTTTTCCCCACTTGCAATTAATATGTGATAATTTGACCTTTTGAATTTGATGCTTGGATTCGTCTATTTTTCCTTAGATAATAGACTGAGTATTTTTCTAAATGTTTCATGAGCTTCCAAAATTTTTATCCATTTTCATGTGTTTCTTCTGTTGAATATATTTTCGCTTTCAAATTCATTCATATTTATCTACACCTATAGATATGAGCAACATTAATGCTTTATATATTCACCCGTTAATACATTCCTACTGAGAATGTGTCATAATTTTCTCAATGTAAAACATGCTTCAATGCTTACCTGGACCTTCATCTTCTTCTCTTGGTGGCTTTTCAGTAATTTTTTTCTGAATCGGTTTCTGCTCATCCTCATCTTTCTCTTCTTCATCATCATCATCTTTCTCTACGAGATCAATCATAATCATAACATACTCAATAATTATAGAAAATCTAATTGATTCGGTGTCTTTTGCAAAATCAATTGATAAACTGTTTTTTATTCATACCATTTTTTCTCTATCTATGATCACTTGGTGTCAAACTGGACAGTGTTAGTGTTTACTATCTTAGAAATCTTCCTGTCTACCGAAATAGTACAAAAATTAGAGCATATTATGTATCTGACCAGTTTGTTTTGACCTTATTTAGTGAATATGTATCAGCTTCAAACAATTATCAAATTTGTTTTATTGATTTTTCTTTTTTTTACTTTTTTATTGCATCTAATGAAATTCAGAGGCAAATAATTCAGTTTTATTATGCTGATTATGATCACATTTCATTTTTGACTGGTTATATGTCATTAATATGAAAGTTCCTGTCAGTGGAGTATACTATTGAGAGTTTAGTTTGGAAAAAAAGCACAAACACGATGTTAATTGCTTATAAGTTAAATAATAAAGATACTGCAATAAAGATTGATAGTCATTGAGAAGTTAATCAAGCAATAAATACAGAATAAATACCGTTAGAAGTAAATTATTCAAGTCAACAGGTCAATAGGACATATCATGAGTCATATTTCAGTTCAACCTGAATTTGTGTTGAGTAGGCTGTTCGGATGAACGATGAATGTTTCACAACCGAAACATCCAGCTTAGGGAACCATAATATTCAAGTCGAAACAGTGACTTGACTGTTGCAAAATAATTATGCGGTCCATAATATGGAAATACTTATATCAAATATATTTTCATGTTTTCAAGAAATGTACTTTCAGCAAACTAATTTTGACAAGTTACTTAATGACGACTGTTGAGTGAATAAACACAAAAATTCATTCAGTAATTTAATAATCAAATAACAGCATGACTATTATCAAAGAACATACTGTTGAAGTTATCTCTATAATTAATACCTAATTGACACCATGAGTTACAATAAACTTAATAGTTTCATTTACCTGGTTTCGTTGTTGAAACTCTTCTCTTCACAGTAACTACAGCTTTTGATTTGTGAGTTTTTCCCTCTGGAAACAATTAAACAAACGATTGTATATATTCAACTAGTTATCATTGAGCAATATTTCAATATGCAGAGATAGGTTTATAAAAGTACTGATTCTTTAATCAATAACACTTGATGACTGTGATCATCTGAAATAATCACTTAATATTTACAAGTGTATTGGTACTATCAAAATGGTAATTATTGGTTGTAGGGTGAAGAATATTGAAGAATGTAGGAAAACATAAAAACAAATGTAAACAGTGAATAAACATATTATTAGATAACGGAGAAAAGAAAATCAACTTATCCACTCGAGCATAAATGAATTTTGAACAGAAAACATGGGGAACGTTCTGAGCATGTTTTAAAACAAAATTTTTACCCGAACCACGTTTCACAGATTCAGTTATTGGGATTAATATAAGTGAAGTAAATTAAAATAAGATAATTTGATATTTTGAATTGTTATAGAATTATTCTCTCCTCATGAATGAAAAGCTAAAAAACATTTTCAAAATTACGTCACCATGTAGAAGGGAAGTATTTTAATTGTCAGAAATCGACTATAACAAAATATTTCGTTAGTCAGTTTTTGATCATTTCAAATCAACAATTGTTTGATAGATTAATTTCATAATTCGAAGGAGAATTTAACTGAAACAGAACTATTCAGATTATATTTGATATGAGGTCTCGAAATAAGTCACACAAATTACTTATTTAAAACCAGAAAAATAGTCACTGCTGACGACTAAAGAAAACAATTTTTTGGAATAAATCTACTGAGGAGTCTCAAACAAGGATGAAACGGCTGTCTAGCGCTTTCAGGTTTCTAATGATAGTTAAACAATGATTAATTCATGACTTTTAATGGAAAAAACAACCTCCATAACTTTATACTTATTATAACAAATAAATCTATCGCAAAATATGATAAAATCATGAGTTCGTTCCATTATTTGCACACCTATCTAGATCATAGATTGAAACTTTGTGAAAAAATCAGTTCTTCACAAAGTTTTCAGCAGCATTCAAACTTACTCTATTGTTATTTTATCACTAGAGTTACAGGAGCTTAGGTTACGTTCGACTTGCATTACTAATTTTGAATTCAGGACTGCTCTTTCATTGTTAACTACTTACCAAACATTTAAATCACCTGAATAGAATAATACTGATGATAGAAGCATTTCTAACAACCAACTGATGAATACAATGAATACAATCAAAACAAAGGTGCATACAACGACAGGTTTAAGGTCAACAGCAACCAATCAAGATCGAGGTTAGCAGAACAAACTACAGGTCAAACGTGGAGAAATTCGAATGCTTCACTTCTATCTGAAGTTTGTGCTAATGATGTTAATCAGAAGAACAATGAAAGCTTCACAACCATAACATCCAGCTCAGAGAACCAAACACCACCACAATGATCAGCATAATATTATGTCAATAGACCAATGGCAAGAAACTATGTGATTTTGTTAAACACGTTGAACATACCTGTAGCAGGCTCTATATAAAAAAATTTAATTCATACAAAAAGAAAATTGATATGTTTTAAGTGAATAACAAAGAAAATATGTTTAAAAGTTAAGTGAAATTGATGAACCAAGCATTGACGAAGTCTTGAAAGTCACACAGAAAACTCATTTTTCTACCAATGATACACTGCAATGCCTGTTTCTCTATACAACTTGAGGCATACAAATTCATAGGGATTACTAGTAGTCACGATAATTCACAATCACTTGGTTCACACCATCTTCATGATGAAAATTTTAACTGAAATCAAATGTTAGGTTACTTTGCTAACATTTTTTCACAGTTTTTCTTATAAGCTCTCATACTAGTTGATTATTATGGTTTAATTTGGAATCGTTACTAATAAATCACAAAGTATGTTTTACTGTCAGTACTCTAATATTTACTGAGTTTAAACCGAATAGAAAGCAAGAAAGTTCTGGTTTGCAAATATTTGTGCATCAGTTATGTACATAATTTACAAATTTCTAATTGAACCGAATAGCGCAACAGCAATAATCGTTACAGAAGCCTGTAAATTAACGTGTATAAATTAGAAACAATCTAAGTAAGAGAACATTTTTTCTGTATTTTAATCGAGTAATTTGTGACTCCAAGATCGAAATGTCTGATTAGGTTTATGATTGCTGATGAATACTAACTTTCCACCTTTCAAAAAGCATTTTTCTTGTGAAAGTATACTATTAAATGAATAAGGTTTGTAAATTTGTTATAGTAAGTTCGAGATGCATATATTTTACACACTATACAATCTGTTCCTGCGAGTGGGAACTTCTGAGGAGTCGCATACTAAGACAAAACGCCCACCCATAGCTTCCAGGTTTCTGATGGTGGTTTACCATTGAAAAACAAATCACTTATGCAGCTGAATATTAAGAGAACATACCTGTATGTGGAGCTTTAGTAACTTTTATAGTACGTGGGATTATGATTTCTTCACTATCAATTTCTGTAAAAACTTCCCAACCCTTTTCTAAAATACAGGAGAATAAATTAGAACACAAATTTATTTTAAGAAAATGGATACTGGTAATATTTTTTTGGTCAACTTGTACCACCACTCCAACGTTGAGCTTTTATAGACCATGCAAATTAATAGTAAGTTATGATAATGAGATCGTCCTAACTATCGAATGATCAGCGTTGACCATCACAGATTGTCTGAAGTTAAATATGTGAACCAGTAAACTAAAACCCAGTGAACCGGTGGTACAATGAATGAAGTAGAACTTGTAAGGACTTGATGTCTTTACGTACAAAAATGTGGATAGATTTCGATGAACATTCATCAAGTAATTATAGTTCTTTAGGGCGGAAATCAACATTAAGGTACAAGGAATTACTTTCTGGTACGTGATTGATTACCAGAAAATTCATAAGCATTTTTGAGAAGTAGCAAAATAAACTTATGATTTTTGTTTAGTTTTACCTTGAGGTACTGTGAACTGCATTGTTCTTTCTTCTTTTCCACCGGTTCCAGATATGTTGTATTCTTTTATTGTTTTCCAGTCACTCCAATCTATTTTAAGTCCAAAATGTATCCGACCAACTTCACATTACCTGTTTCTTCTTCCACAAACGAGTTTTGTTTATCACCGCCTTTTTTAACTCTTAGCTTAGCTGCTCGACAAATGTAAAACATAAAATTTGTTGAAAGTGCATTAAACAATAGTCACATATCTCAAAAAGTTCGGTTCCATAATGAAATAGTCAGTAGTAATTAAGAGACTTCATCTTTCAGTAATAACAATAAAGTCAATTAAAGGCTTATCATTATAAATAAGATTGAAGTGTACAAATTTTAGTGGTAGTTGTACTAGTCCTAATAAGTATCCTTCGGTAAAAATATATTATGTCTTAATTTTCCATTAACACAGTTATGAACAATGCAACAAACAACTGTATTTGAAGTTGCAAAGTTCTAAGTGCCGTCGAAAATGTTGCACTTCATTTTTTATTGATGTTATACCACTCACTACATAAGTGTAAGGTTTTTGACTCATACTCATAGTTGATCGACCTAGATAACACTGACAAAACTATATAACTGTTAAGTGGGATGTTGTAGTTATGGATTAATTGAAGTTAATTACTAATACCGTTGGATACCAGCTCAGTAATTTAGAGATTAAGCGTTAGCAAACGAGACCTAAGATACTAGGTTCGTTTCTTATTTGTAGGGTCGTAGATATACACCACTGAGAGGTCATGTACTCGGACAAATCAGCCGTACAATACCTACAGCCTTTCAACAGTTTTCTAATTTAGATTAGGTTGTGATTTGAATGAAATTTAACAATCTCCACAACATTATACTGACTACTACATAACAGCTGATCAGATAACTTATTTTGTTTCGTAATTTCGTCAAAATCAAACATAGTAAAATAATCTGAAACTGGATGACAACACTTGGGATAAATCAATTTTAGTTATTAGCGCAGAATCATTGAACCAGATAGTTTAATTACGTTTTCTGATTATTTTACAACACTTGTATCGTCAGTTGAATAATTAATACTTTACTTGATATGAGCACATAGTTTAAGTTTACCACTGTTTATTAAATAAAACAGGCGAAGGAATTTTTGTAGGAAACTAATAATAGCTTCGTTTCCAGAAAATAAAATGAAGAATCATGAAAAGCCTGAGGATAATTAGTCAGCATGGGAGAGAAGAATGTAAATACATATATATAAACACATATTTTATATCAAACATTTACCTGCAGTAACATAGGAATCAGGATACAAAAGTGTGTAAATGAGAGCTATCCATAATAACGACTGAAAACAATTATAGGTAATATGCATGATTGTCGTATGAATACAGAATAGTTTACCTTCATTTACGCAATATATATATATATATATGTGCTTATCTACTTTTTCTTAATGATTAATTTATACTTGTATGTCGCTAAGTTCTTTGTGGAATCAACTCCCTGTGAATCGTATATCTTGGTCATTGACTTTCATGAGCAGTTCAACTTTGTCCATAAACGAAGAAACTTGTCAATGAAGTTTCTGTCAATTCACTTTTGAAGTCAATAAGGTATTTTATAAATGACCCTGACTTGTCAGCCACTGACCGTATGATCGATAAAGTAGTTGATCAAATAAATTTTAAACATTTATGTCATTCTATGCATTGTGATTACAATGTCTTGAAAGTATTTCGATCATATGCATAGTTTCTGAGAAGGTTAATTGTACTTTTGAACAAATATATTTAAAGCAAAAGTGTATTTTATTTGCTGGATGAGAAGTATTGTTTAGTTCATTTAAATAACCTTGAACTGTATGAAATATTGTCATTTACTGACACACTTCAGAGGTGATGACTGATAAATTCCTTGAAAAAGAAGACTTGTACATTCAACTATTTCAAATGGCACAACACTATACAACCACTCAATATGTATTACTAACTTCTGTCACTTTAACGTAGACATTATCCAGTGATATCAGTAAATATCTTTCTTATAATCAAGCAGTGTGACTCCATAGCTAGCAGAAACTAATTACTGGTGAGTTCATCAATATAGTCCATTCTGATTATTTATTTATTGAGAATTCTTCCAAATTCTGCATCAACATATCTCAAGTTTTTAACCTTAACAACCACACTCACTAACATTATTTCTACTCATTGCTGATGTGACGATTGATACGAAAAAGACCGAACCTCAGGCCAATTCGCTGACATACATCACAGGTTGGACATTTGATTAAGCTTATTTTCTAAAAATATTATATTTCAATAGATATGATAATTAACTGAAAATTGAGATAAATGTAATTGTTATCGAAAAGAAAATCACATTCTTTTTAGTAAACGAAGCATTAGGAATATTCAGTATGCATACTAACTTTATTCAAAGGTAATTATTGTAGGAGATTCTGATAAAGCAGTTTTCTGTGACACCTTCGATTTTAAAATGAAAAATGTATATTATAGTATTGATACTACATAGTAAATTATTAAATTGTTAGATCTAAACTAGTTAAACATACTTCGATTCACTGTCTTAAAACAAATACTATCAAATAAACTAATGTACACAATTTTCGAGTTAACTAATTATCAGCTTTCATGTCAAGATGAATGAGCAATTTACTCAGAGGCGAAGAAGAAGAGATCAGTATATTTATCAAGTATTCATGTTACGGAAAAGTGATCATGTTAAGTAGTGTATGGAGGAGTTAAACATAAATGAAAAAATAGCTTTAAAAGGGAAATGTATACAACAAAACTATATCTGCATTATGAGTTACTACGTTCGTTCATTGTAGCTAAATCTAAGTATTTTATAAGTAGGCCATGATAAATCTTCTAGTGCTTTTATATTAGTAAATGTATCATTGTTTTGTTCTGAACATTGAATGATATTTTGTTTAACCTCAAATAATGTTTCCTTTCTGCATTATGTACAAACTCGCTTATGACTGGTTATAATGAACGAAGTTGACTCATAACCTCATGACAATTTAACTACAACCAATCTCTCGTTCATGTAATTTCGACCCAAATGTCCTAAAGAATTATGTTAATCTATAAATTTAATAAAACATGGTCTCTGACAAGCATTTTTTAAGCAGGTTGTTTACTAAGTGATAAGTCTGTAGAACCCTGTTTTCGACTCACTTGGTCTATTCAAGTTTGAAATCAAAATTAACCTTAAAATTTTTCTATGGTGATATATATTTGCCTATGTCCCTAGTACAGCATGGATACAAACTACAAAGACAAAACTGCAACAGAGAAAATACTTTGAATAAATGAATTAGAAATAAAACCTGCAAATGAGATATCCAAACAAATTAAAGGCTTATAATTTTCTCATAGTATATAACATTCACAGTTTAATCCAGGTCAAAAAACACACAAGACATGTGTTGAAACGTTTTCTCACAACCACCTGATAAAGAAATCAAGTGAATAGCTTGTGACTAATTGATCTGTCAGAATGTGAATATTCACCACCTTTTTTGCTCAATAATCAATCTATTGTTACAGGTTTTGAGGCACATCATGCGACTCATGAATTCATTATTGTCAATGTCCAATAATTATATGAAACCTAACATATCCTATTCAGGTTACACTAACTTATCTTTCTTTAAATATCTATTTCTATATCATATAATTACAAAGGATTTATGTGATATAGATAATTTGTTTCAGTGAACTAGTGAATATACAGTTTCTCTGGTCAGTGTTTAGCTTTCCATAACTTATTAGTATATCCAGTAGTTTGCTTTAGAAGATAACTCTAACGTTCATAGATAGAATATATTAACTTATTAAATAATTCAGATTTGCTCGTTACTTATTGCCATTTTTCTCAAAAGTGATTTATTTTTAATTTATTCGACACATTCATAACAAACACTTCCGCATAAAGTGAATATTTTTAATTTTCGTTTAGGTAAATATCTTGAATATAGAGATCTTCCTTTTTTTCCAATTACAAAAGTTAGATTTGGCAAGACAAATCACTCTATTTTTCCATAAAGCGTTCACTGATTACAAGTGTTTTATCTGATGATTCAATTTACCTGCCTTATTCAAATCTACTTCATGACGACACTGTTTATTTCTCAGTTGAAATTGACTTACACTCAAAGGTTAATCAAATTAAAATAAAAAAACTATTCCTATTTAAATCAATAGTAATTTAATGAGTGATCAAATGAAGGAAATTCACTTTACACACAATCAATATCTCTGACCTGCAATCATGTGTTCATTGAATCTAAATGAATCTAAAATTTGATATAAATAGTGGATATGTTCAGTGACTACTCATAACCAAGCATAATGTTAATGGTTAACAAGGTATTTCATCATGTTTCCCATTATTTTTAAACAAATTTATTCTCGAAACTCTACTTTGTTTTCATTAGAACATGAAACAAATCTTTGTAATTTGTATCATCGTATATTCTGCAATTTGCACTAGTAAAGGTAATTTTTTTAAATATGTTAATTATTTCCACGTTTTCTTTTTTAAAAAGTTTCTTTGATATTTATTCATAATGAACGACACACTGAATAACTCAGAATGAATAATGTTAATATGATGCTTGTAAATCCTAATCTTCTTTTTTTTCCTCTTTTCAGAAATATTCTCTCCTTATGTAGCTATAACTGCCAACAAATTCTTTAAGATTTTTTCTAGAGATTGTATAACACTTTATTCTGATGAGTCCCAAACCAGAACGAAACGGCCGTCCAGTTCTTCCAGGTTTCTAATGGTGATCTAACAATGATTGATTGGTGATTTCAAATGTGTAATAATAATATTGAGTTTTAAAAATCTTATTGTAAACAAAACCTAAATACAATAAGTTGCGTAATAACTTGGACAGTTTGAATCAAAGATTTCTGCTTAACGTCACCTGTGCCTTTATTTCTCTTTGTTTATATTAGTTGGTATCCTCAGCCGATGAACTTGCAATGATTATTTTGAAATTTTATTCCATTTAACTGTAGGCAAGTTTTTGCCTCGAAAGAATTCAAAAATTCAATTAGATTTTAATTCAACAGAGTTGTGATATAGCATTCATAGTTGTACTTTAAACTTTAGATTGTGCTTGTAACATGTGTTCTATTCCATTAAAATTGATGTTAATTTAT